AAAAAGCGATGAAAGGACATATTACGTAATAGACCTTTTTGCTTTAACACCATTTTTAAAGTTCGTGCAAGCTAAAACATTATGGAGTACAAAGAATTATGGAATGTGAATTTCTCTTGTTTTCTATAAAAGCAAACATGATTATAAAAAGTCGAAACACGCCGAAACAGTACTTTTACCCCCAAAAAATCGGCTAACTGACCGAGAAAATCAAGACTCCTGCAAGAAAATCAAGACTCGTGCAAGGAAATCGAAAATTGAAGCCCCAGCCGATCAAACAATTACCGATAATGACCAGAATATATATAAGTAATCTCATGCAGGGCCGAGTAAACTGAACGAAGGGTTATTTTCACGTCCGTTTTTTAAAAAGGTTTTCCGCGATAATTTGTGTCGCTAGCCTGTGTTCTGGATTATTTGGATTACTTTCAATTTGTTGACACTAATTATTTCCGTAGGCGATTGCGGGGTTGAATTTAGCGACATGAATGATCTTGTTTCCTCTATCAGTTCAGTTTGAACTTGACGTGGGGTAAATTTGTTTACATTTTTCTGTTAATTGATACATTGGGCTGCTTGGGAAGAGGAGAAGGAGTATGGAAACAACGGAGCCCAGTTATTAGCGACTGCATGATAACTAAGAACAAATGTAAAATCATTCATGGCTCAGTCTCCGGTAACGGTGCCTGAATTCCCGCAAGTCAAACTGAACGCAAGAAAACGATAAGGATTTCACTAAGCTGTTAAGGGACTGTGTTGTGTTGAGTAATGATGTCCCCCACAAGCACTTGCTTCACAGCAGCGGTTTGGCACCATTTTTTTGCAACCTGCCACCGCACAGCCCCCCTCTTTCTCTCTCCCCTTTCTCTCCCACAGATTTGCCACAAAAGGCATCGATAAAATTTAATTTCCATAAACCAACATGCTAAATTTTAGTTCGATTTGTGGTTCATTGGTGCCTTGACTTTGATTTACCTAAAGGTTGTTCCATGTTATCGAGAGTATTTGTGGTTTAGTCAAGCCCTGACTTTGTATATTATTTTTATATTACAACTAAACTATAGTGTTTTTCGGGCAGATTCATTGCTATAATATACCCTCTTCGACCTCAACCAACAACAAGAGACGCCAAGAAGGTTATCATTATAGTATGGGTGCTATCCCTAGTCCTGGTATCTCCCTACATAGCTGTGCTTAGGCAGCGGGAGAAGGAATGCTCCGAGACTTTCCAGGAACGCGGTATGAATGCTGGAGCTTACACTTTGGCGATCTTCATTTTACAATATGTTTTACCCATCACTCTCATTGGATTGTCGTACATAAGGTAGGTTATTAGTCCCTTTCCGCACAGTTCCCTGCGACACCTTGAAAGGCTGGTAGCCGTGCCTTTGTGTCGAAGAGAGACGAACGGTGAGCCTGCAAGGATAGAGACATTTTGAAACACCTAGGAGAATTATTCACATGACTCTATCATTGCAAGCTCACCGTTCGTCTTGCTTTTATGCAAGGGCACGGCTACCTTTCGAGATGGCGCAGGAAACTGCGAAAGGGACTAAATTGGTTTTTTTACTTTTCTTTATAATACTTTAATCTAAAGTTCTATAGAACGGAGGAGGAGGGCAAACATGTCCTCAAAAACAGTGTTAACAGTGTTTTAAAAAATGTCTCTATCATTGCAAGCTCACCGTCCGTCTCGTTTCGAGGCAAAGGCACGGCTATCTTTCAAGATTGTGCAGGGGAACTGTGAACTAAGTATGAAAACAGGGGTTGGAACCACACATTTTCTAAGCTACCCTAAGGGACAGAAATCCTTTTATTTCGGTGCTTAAGGAACGTAAGGTACGAGACCAGCCATAAGGAAACCTACGACCGAGAAGCACTGGAGCAAGAGAAATTATCTGAAACCCCGGGCAGACAATGGAAACTTAATAATGAACTCTCTAAAAGTGTTTCCGGCTTTTAAGTTTCAGTCAATTAAATACTTCATAGTAGCTTCATTATAATTGAATCCGGCAACTGCCTGTCAAGTAGTTATTTCCAGTCTTTATGTGCGTCAAGCGAAACAAGGAACCACAAAAGATTCAATTATATAGACCTCTTCGGCTTGGGGTAATGTTTTCCCATTTCAGACCACGTGTCATTCCCTTGAGAATAAGATTCTTTGTTTGAGCTGTATTCATATTCATGTGTCTTTTCATGTGCAACCGAGCGCAAACCTTAAACAAAGAAATGATACTCTAGGGAAAACAGAAATGGGAAAACATTACGTCAGAGCCGAAGAGGTCTATTGAACAAAATGAGTTTATAAGATGAGCACGTTGAAGGGAAAGTTGTTTGACGTGTAGTTGAAATAGAAAATAAAATGTGCATATGCAAAATTGGCTGCTTCCTAGACCCTGCATTTCTATGTCTTTATAATGAACAATTTTGAACTAGATATCTTTGATTTTGCAGGCCGAGTTTGCAAAAAGCAAGGAGAGTACCGTTTCTGTTAAATGTTAAATCTCTGAAAAAATATCACTCCCCTAAAGGGATTGCCTTATCTAGCTAAGAGTCAGTAGCTCTACTAACTCAGTCTGGCTGTGATGTCATACATCGAAAGAGATATTTCTGTATTTGTTGGCCTGGGTGTAAAAAAACTACAAATTAATATCATACCTCTTAGGAGAATCTTACGTATCACGTCTATTTGTCTGTAACTATTAGGATTGGCCGGGACCTGAGGAGAGACAAAGGTTCATATTCAAATGATGTGCTTCAAAGAGAACAAGAAAGAGAGGCCCACAAAGTGGTGAAAATCCTAACCGTGGTTGTCATAGTGTTCGCCATGCTGATGTTACCGAACCACATTGTCTTTATCTGGATAGATTTTGGCAACGGCAGTAAGTACCAACGCAACAAGTAGCATGACACGTAGCACGATTTTGTTGACACATGACGTGCCACGTGTAATCATTCCCTAGAGTATCATTTATTTTCTTTGTTTAACGGTTGCGCATGAGAATATACACAATTTTTGAACGACAGTAAGGCAGTTAGATGTGTGTATAGTCTACCGCAAATTTTAAGGGCGCTGCGAGGTAAATTGCAAAATCACGTACTATACGCCAATATATGAACGAATTAAAGTATACTGAGTTAAAGTCATCGGACAAAAGTTTCAGTGGAGACCGAACAGGTTCATAAGCTTTTTTAAAAACTTCTAAGTCAGAAAGTCAGGAACATTTTACAAAAAATAAATAAATAAAATAACAATAAAAAAATTATAAGCCATTCCAAGGTTGAGGTAAAAAACTGGGTCTAGTGGGCACTGCAGGCATTGTGGGGCTGTTTTAGGGGAAGAAATATACGCCATCTTGAAAATTCCCTTAAAACAGCCCCACAATGCACTGCAATGCCCACTAGACCCAGTTTCTTCCTCAACTTCGGAAAGGCTAATATGAACGAATTACTGACAGTTACTTCTATGTCTTTTTTTAGGTCAAAATATCTACATAACGCAAATCATTTCGCTTGGGCAAATATTGGTGTATTTCAACAGCGCAACAAATCCTCTAATCTACAACGCGGTTAACGAGCAATTCAGAGAAGGTTTTCGGCAATATTTCCAATCTTGGAGAGACTTAATACTAACCTCTAAAGGAAAGAAAAGCCTGCAACATCGCGGCCAACATAACACAAGAACCACTACTAAATGTACAATGTGCATCGGCAGCGAGGAGGAAAAGCTTCATAGTAGAAGATGTTCTGAACGTTCTGAAAATGATAATAATAATTCTTCGTCACAGTCACGAAACGTGAATTCAGTTACCGTGACAGACAATGCGACTTCAAGTTTGCTAACACAAGTGTGAAATAACTGGTAATTGGTCAATCGTGTAACTACACAGAACAGTATTCTTCGATTGCACGTTACGTCATCGCGGCCATGTTGGTACCATTTAACAAAAGATTTCTCATTAGCATCCATTGTTAACGGTACCACAATGGCCGCCATGTTTTTGTCTTTTAACTCTCTTGGGAATGCTTGCAACCCATCAATAACATCAGCCATTTTTGAGTGCTATTTTTGTAATATTTTTTGAAGCGTGTTACTAGTACTCGGTCTCAGATCTACAAGCGACGTTTTTTTGAAATAGGTCTATACTCATTTCAGAAAAGTCAGTCACCTAAAAAGCTTGAAACTTGAAAAGATACAAAGCTGATACCTGACCGGCCGAACGATTATAAGTTTTACATTATAAGTTTTACATTTTTTCAAGTTAACCACTTGATAACTACTCATGATGGATATTTTTACCTTCCGTGGGCATTATCAAGCAGCAGTTTGAATTAAAAGTTGTTTTTTTTGCATGAAGTTTTTTGCTGATCATCGGCAATTTCAGCTTTGTAGGCTTTTGGTCACCGAAGTTATTAACCTAGGTATATAATTATCACCTCACTAAATGAATCCAGCTCATAGTCCCTTGGGTATTAAAAGCTCTGTTGGATGGCAAACAAGCTTCAAAAGAAGCATTTTTAAAGAAGCTTTGCTTCCAAAACTATAAACGAGAGAGATGTTCCTTGGAGTCAGGGTCGTTTGCTATCCAGTCACTGTCGTGGGGCAAGATATTGCAAAAGGGCTATGTTGTGATTGAAAAGGAGGAATGTAACGGGAAGGTTGAGGGGGTTCACACCCCCTGTGGATGTAGCACAAAATCTATAGACATACAATGCCAAATTTCGCAGACATTCGATGCTGAAGGCTCTTGTTTTAGGAAACTTTCTGCAGGATGGGCCTAATGAATAATTAACTTTGGTCTATATTGCGTGCAAATCTGGTTAATACGACGTAGACCTTCGAATCAGCACAAGATTCTTCGTTCTAGACTCCCAGCTTGGTTGCACAATTATACACTTATTTAAAAAAGGATAAAGAGGCGAACGGCGATAGGTAATAAGCGATAGATAATAAGTGATAGGAGATGGTTCTGAAGTGGTAAAATGGGACCTGGAGTTCGCCTAGTTGGGGGCTGAGAAAATGGGATTTTATGCACTGGGACTATGGTATTCACAAACAAACAATCAAAACATGAAAATGGGATTGAACTTTAAACAAAACATAGGCTTGGACTATGGGATTTGGTCAAAATAGAGGCTGGAAAATGGGATTAGGACCCCCTTCAGACCCTCATCGGGAAATAGTTCATTCCGAGATCAAAGAATAGTTGAAATGATTGGTGTTTCTTATAGTCATATATTCTTGTCAAAAACATAGAGGGTTGTTGAGATATTTAGTGTTGTTTGTAGTCGACGAAACCATTGAAAACACCGCTTGACTATTCATGTTTAGATGCACGCCTACAGTTCCTTTTGGTCGTGCAATTCATCCTTAAACATTTTTACACGTGCATGGTCTAGTCAAAACAAGGAATCAGGGTTCGTGCTACTTCTCCAACAATGCATAGGAACCATACTTTATTTTCAGGCTCCATGTCATCGACGTAAAATGATGGAAAATAGCATATAACAACCTTATTCACGTAGGTAATAAATGGATTTTCAACAAAAAGTATGTTACAGTAGATAATCATGATAAATAAGTAACCGTTGCATTTTCAAGGAGTATTTCAGGAGTATCCAGCAACTTTGTTATTTTCAAGGGCTTTTCAAGTGCACTTAAAAATGGGTTTTTGAATTCCAGGGCTTTTCAAGGATTTCAAGGAGTAGCACGAACCCTGAGGAATGGAATATTCGGCCGCTGATTCGCAGACTGTCTTAACCAGAGTTAAAGTCGGGCTGCTAGCAGGCTATTACTGGCTGACAAAAATATCATATTTTATGAATGTTTTACTCTAGAAATGTTAAAGTTTTCCTAAATAAAATTTAAAAAATTCTTTTCATCTTTTGACGTTTTCATGCTTGTATGATGGCAACTTGTGTGCGATTCAGGAAAGCGGTCGCCATTTTAATTCTTTTTAGGCAAAAATGTTTACCCCAACTGGTTTGAAAAGCCCATCAGAATGCTCTTCACATCCTTTTTCTTTTACAAATGGTTTAACTTCTTTAGGAGTCGCAAAAAGGGTGTTAATAAGGCCAAGAAAGGAACTACGAAAAAGGGAGGACCTAAATCAACCTGTGAAAAGACTTTCCCATCATGTTTTACCAAGTTCATTAAAGCACTAGGTTTTGTAAATACTAGATGTCTCGATATGGCTTACTGCACTCACTGGTTTGTTCGTCAAGACACAGCGAAATTTAGATAACGAGAGGAAACTAAAACAGAAGATTGGTTCAAACATGGCCAGCAAAAAAAAGTCATTTATTCGTCGCAAAAGACTTTGAAGAAAATTTTTTTGTCGCAGTTCAAGTTTATTTGAAATTGGTATACTAGACTCTAAGTTCTAGATTTCGGGCTCTTTTTGTTTCCAAGAGCAACGCTTCAAGGTTCCGCGAGATTGGTTGTCTATGGTTATTCAGTGGAATCCCGATATGCAAATTCCAGTAGAGTACGTAAACCAAACCAGTGTCTCGTATCAAAAGCAATTTTTGATTTGAAGAAGAAAGTTACATTTTGAAAGGTTTTTATTTGCGAGTTTTTCACCGTGTGAGTTTTGAGTTTTGAGACGAACGTGTTGACCGATGCACAATCCTTTGAGCGCTAAAGGAGATCTTCTTTTTTCGCCTGCCAATATCGTAATAAAGCGGAGTATCAGTGTTTGATTTTGAGTGATACTTTTCGCTTGATTTAATTTGAATGCAAAAAAGAAGTATGGCATTTGATGATTTTTTAGAGCTGTTTTGAGGACATGCTTGCCCTCCATTTTCCGTTCTATAGAACTTTAGATTAAAGTATTATAAACAAAAGTAAAATAAATAAATAGTCCCTTTCACAGTTCTAAGGGAGTTCTATGCGCCATATTGAAAGATAGTGGTGCCTTTGCATCAAAGCGAGACGAAAGGTGAACTTGCAAAGATGAGACATGTAAATAATTGTTCAAGGTATTTAAAAAAAGGTCTCTATCATTGCAAGCTCACCGTTCGTCTCGCTTGAATGTAAAGGCACGGCTGCCTTTCAAGATGGCGCAGGGAACTGTGAAAGGGCATATTATATGTACAATTAATTAGTGTTACGAATGCACAACAAGCCATAATACAAGCAGCTTGCAACCTGAACTTTGATCTCCGCCCTTGTCGTTCACGAGTTCGGAAAATCACACACAGTAATCCCAAAGTCAGTATCAACTACACTCGCCCTTCAACTGTTATCAATATGAGTATCGGCTTTTTGGGAGCGGGAAAAATGGCCCAAGCCATGGCAAGAGGATTACTCGCATCAGGTTAGTTGAATGAGTTAAGTTCTTATTAATATTAGGAATCATTTTGTCCATAAAGTTTTAGTGTTATTTTTGATGCATCGTGATATCCATCTTAGTGTAACTGACCTGATATATAAATAATAGCCTATTGAACAATCAATTATAAACGCATACCAAAATAGCACCTCAATATCACTATAAACTTCGAGCATAGATGGCAATAAGTTAAAATATACGTTTTCAGAGAGCAGGAATAATTTTTCATGCTATTTGTCTATCACATCCTTGTTAGGTTTTTGTAATATTGCTGAATCTAATTAGAATAATCTGTTATCAAGAACAGACTGAACTAATATCTTTCTATTATGTAAATAAGATAGATGTCGCATTCTAAATTAACCTGTTTTAGCCTGTTGAATCTAAGGGCTAAACCAGTCCAAGGAAGCTTATACCCCATTCACACCAAGGCTTAAACATGTTTAAAAGTGGTTTAACAAAACAGGTTTTGAAAACTCTCTACGAATACTGCACAATATTTGGTGAAATAATGCATGTAAACTATCCTTTTTCTTGCTCTGACAATATTTTAGAAAATTTCACTTATATCGTAGGTTTCTAGTTCCTCAATTTTTTTCGTAATGAAAACATAGTTTAACTAAGCACGTTTAGGTGTGAATGGGGTATTAGGTACGAATAAATATATAATAAAAAGGAAAAAGGTAGGAATAAATAAATTTAATTCAAAACTAAAACTTATACTTCTAACCAAAAAAATTTATTCAATATAGTGGTTCAAAGCTTTCTGCGCATGCTCCTAGCTGTTAATTTTCTCTAGAAAATTCTCTCGGAAAGTAGTCGAAGTGCTTTATATAGTATGTGTTGACAACGAATGTCTTTTTGGTTATTTTAAGACCGACATAAGCAACTTGTAGTTCGTAGCTAGTGAACTAATCGAAAAGAACTGCATACGTTGAGTCGAGCTTCGAGATACTTTTGACCATTTCTTTACTGAGCAGGAAGTTAACGATATAAAAAGTCAAAATTCTATGTAAAATAGTTGAGTATTATGTCCATAAGCCCTTCTAAAGAGGCTTCGATATATCTCTAGAGATTTTACATAATATTAGAAAATATATATAATAGTTAATGTTTAATAGGCGAAAAACAATGAAGCCAAGGGAAAAAAAACAAAAACAGAAAAAACAAAAACAAAACAAAAACAAACAAACAAACAAACAAACAAAACAAAACAAAACAAAACAAAACAACAACAACAACAAAACAAATAAAAATGAAATTAGTGTTCCGGCCACTAGTGTGACTGATATCAGTCTGTCATGGGTTAAGATAGAGTTGAAGCTATTTTATTTCATTTATTTATTTGTTGCTTGTTGGCTCTATAGTATAGTTCAAAACATATTTTTTCCACTAACAGCCGAAATAAGTTCCAAACCAATACACGGGGAGTAACATCACGAAATACCACTAATCGATCGAGCGGAATATAAACAAATCTAGGGACACCTAGTTATACCTCCCCTCCTTAGTACCTTTTTAGCTCCTTTCCCCACCCTCCTTCGCGTAAAACTGGTATAAAACCGCTGTCGAAACAAGCCCTTAATATAATACACCAACAACTTTCAAACAGACAAGTTTATATCTATGCATCTGATACTGTTCTGTTAACAACTTATCATTATGAGCATCGGCTTCTTGGGAGCGGGAAAAATGGCCCAAGCCATGGCAAGAGGATTACTCGCATCAGGTTAGTCGCTTAAATAAATGAATAAAGTTAGTCTGTTTAGCGGTTTTTAAACAATCAACCGTTTGGTAATCATACGACAGTAAGATCTAGGTCGGCCAAAAAACTCTTTACTATTCTGCTCAAAGATGTACTGCAAGTTTTTCTCGGCAATATCAAATCAGCTTCAAGAACGAAATAGTAAGCAATAGAGGAGAAATTAGTAACTTTGAAGTCATAAATCCCTTTCCTTTTCTGTCAATATTATTAGGGCATTCAATCATCACAAGTTAGCAACTATTGCTCACTTCTTTTTGCCCTAGACTTCATATCATATACTTAGGGTAAAACCAGAAGTCAAATTCTTTGTTCGATGCCGGTATCCCTTTCTACCGCCAGCATAGCTATAATGACAGATCCCTTAAGACTTTGTATAGACCAAAAGTCACGATAATCTATCCGATCTTAACCAAACATAGATAATTAATATTTGGAAAGTGATTTCTGAAATGACGTTTAAATTCTAAACAAATATGGAACAACTTGATAAAAACCAAGAAAAGTGAGAACAGGATTGATGGTGGTGAGGGGAATTTGTTAACTTATTTGCCGTTCTGTTTATCTTCTCAAAATCATAAAATAAATTCTCGTTTTTTAAAGTGTCACGGGTGACCACCTTGGAGCTTGTAAACACGAATCGTACCAGCTGATACCAGCACTGGTTTCCTTAACAACCATCATGTAATGGGATTTTCGTTTCTTTTCTTTCTTTCTTTCTTTTCTTTTTAAAGATGGACTTTAAACCAGAAAAAAAGAGAAAAAACAGCACGAATGAGTAAAAATAAGAAATGACATTTCTACACAAGTGGCATTATCAAAATTTCTTCTTTTATATTAAGGTCTTAATAATAATAATAATAATGATAATAATAATATCTTTATTTACCCTGATTTAAAAAAACCGATCAGCTGGACACGACAGAACAGCTGGTATGAACCGGTGATCAGCAATATAAAATCTATAAAAATCTAAATAAAATCTATACTAAAATCTGCGATTGAGAACCTAAAATTATAAATATAAGAAAAGAGAAAATTAAGTATAATATATACATATATACACAGAAACACGCCACGTAGAGAAATTCGTTTGACTGATTTGAAAAGCGGAGATATTCAAAGATGTCATACAAATTAGTTAGAAAAACTGCGAAGTTTCGTGAAGAACATTATTTTTTAACTTTAAATGGATTATCGATAATCTTCACGAAAATATACAATTTTGCTAATGTCTATATGAACAATTTGTATAGGGAATCGCTGATCTCGAGTACGATTCGAAATTAATAGGTGACGAGTGAAGTTTTGAAAGTTTTCAAATTTGGACGAGCCTTTAGGCGAACATCGTGCGTTTTTTTTGTTTATAATAACTCAACAAAATGGAGCAGACTCTTTTTTCTGGTAAAACTAAAAATTGAAATTGCGATTTCACAGTCAAAATCCTCAAGCTCCATATGCGTATTTTCTTTGAACGCAAATACCTATATGCAACAGATTTTACTTGCGAAACAAAATTTCAAGCTTAAAGAAGAAATGTAACGTAGATTGAAGAGAGTAAACACTTTCAATATTTTGAACTATGAAATAGTTCCTCCGCTAGTTGACTCGTAGCAAATAAAAACGGCACAGAATGGGTCGCAGAGAAAATTTGTCCTTGGAGAACGAAGGGATTCCTACATGTGATCCCAAACGTATATACCATACTGGCATTTTTATCAGATGCAGCACTTTTCTGCACTAATTTTAGGCACCTTTCCAAGAGAGAAAATGATTGCAAGTGCTGCGGACGAGATGACCAACAACGAAATGAGGGTAAGGAATATAAATTCACTAAACGCCAGATGAACCTAAATTCAGACGAGTAACTTCATGCAAGCACTGGCTAGCCTCCTCTAGAGTGGAGGGACCACGGACGATAAATAAAGTGCCCCTCCCCCGCCCTAACTCAACATTTTCAGCATTGATTCTACATGAAGTGAATAGTTGAATGGTGAAATATTTTTATGTGATTTGAGATATATGCTAATGAAGGAATAAATTAAGTAATACGTTAAGAAACTGATTATAGTGCACGCACTAAACCCGTGAAACAAATACTAACTTTTAGTACTAAATAGTGATAAATAAACAATAGAAAACAAAGGATTCTGTATGAAATAGTACTAATTAGTACTATTTGATGTTCACAGATTTAGTGCGTGCACTCTACTAGGAGGRAAAAAATGTAATAACCTTTCTATAAACCCTGAGTAAGACAATGATGTTTCATATAGGATGTTTTACTTCCTGCCCAGAAAATGTTTGTATATTTAATTCCTCATATGACTTAAAGTATAAACCTTGATATCTCCAAGAGGCATCACTCAAATCATATAAAAATATTTTTACCATTCAACTATTCACTTCATGTAAAATCAATACCGAAGATAAATAGTTGGGAGAGGGGCTTTTTAAACATCTCATGCTATATGCCTATTCTGTTGTAGAGTCTTGGGGTATACGTAACAGAACATAACCATGAGGTGGTGGAGCAAAGAGACATCGTGGTAATCGCTGTTAAACCAAACCTGGTTTCATTGGTTCTTAACGAAGTGGCTCCTGTCATCACACCACATAATCTTATCGTCTCTCTCGCTGCAGGAGTTACCCTTGATTCCATGGAAAGGGTAGGTGGTCAATATGTTGTGCTATACATAGTCATACTATGTTTATTATTTCATTTTCTTAATTTGCGTGTGTAGAAGATAGCAGTGACCCGGCTAAGCATCTGTCTTAAAATCAGGAGGAAGAAGTGCTGCCCTTGTAATTACATCTACAAATGGTCAGACTTAATTGGCTCGAGTGACCACTTTAAATGGCAGTCCCGTCTTTTTACACGTAAAAACCACGTACAGTAAACTTAAGAACCATCGAGGACGTAAAGAAACCCTGGAAGAGGCCACCCTCGATCCTCAGTGCGTAAACCTCATTCTAGCCATCCCTCATAGCCGTGGTTTTAAAACGCTTTGGAATCTACATGAGTAAATCTTTAAATAAATCGAAATCTTTGAACATGAAACTTCTCAAATAAGCTTCTTTAGTACTCGTCTTTGTTTGCGCTGACTTCAAGTGTTTCCATCTCCAGTGTCTCCCTGGCAAGAGTCGAGTCGTACGAGTGATGCCCAATATCCCGACTTTAGTTAGACAAGGTGCATCAGCATTCGCACTAGGTCGTCACGTGACTGACACGGACTGTGACACAGTGAAGAAACTGATGTCAGCCGTGGGATACGTGGAACAAGTGCAAGAGAAAGATGTTGCTGCTGTAACTGGTCTCAGTGGCTGTGGTCCTGCATACGTGAGTATACTCCACTAGCTATCATTTCTTCAACGCATAGGAATGGCGAGAGCTGGGCGCTTAAAATGGAAAGAAAACTAGAAATAAAACTTCAATATCGATTTTCTGCTGATACAAAAGCTAATGTCGATGTCCAGCTGCAGTACTTATGTATTTCTTCTGCATAATGGCAGTCGACATTTGGTTCAATATTCAGTCGTTGTTCTCGTTTCTAGTGTTCCAAAATATTTGATAAAAGATAAATTATGTATATCTTTCTTGATAGTGTTTCATGGCTATCGAGGCTCTCGCTGATGGTGGTGTTAAAGCAGGTCTTCCTCGTAAAGTGGCCATCAACCTTGCCGCACATACATTACTGGTAATGTATATTTCCGTTTAAAGGGTTCACAGAGCAAGAGAGAAGTGATAGGAGAAGCATGACGCGTAGCGAAGCTCTTCTCGACACTTCTCGAGTGTTCTGCCAATCCCCAAGTGCTTTATAAATACACACAGCAAGCAAGTTTTTTATTTCTTTTATAAAATACAAATTACAACAACCGTTATTTTAGAATACGCAACTGAAAGTGAACACGTGTGCTGTGTGCTCTCGTAACGCACGCGCTCCCAACCAATCAAAACGCTAGATTTATAACAAGAGATAACTAGCTAAAAACTAGTATGAGCTGCTAGATTTATAACAGTTATTTTATAATTTTATCTATTTCACAGGGCAGTGCAAAGATGGTTTTAGACACAGGAAAACACCCTGGCGAGCTCAAAGATGCTGTATTTTCACCCGAGGGAGCAACAGCTTATGCAGTCCATTCTCTTGAGAAGGCTGGGTTAAGAGCTACCTTAATGGATGCTGTAGAGGCGGCGTTGTTGAGGGCTCAGGAACTTGGCAGAATGACCAAATGAACACTAAGAAAACTAAAGGCTATTTAATATAAAAAGTTTCTTTATTAAAGACAAATTCATTGATTATTTTCCAATTTTTTTAGTAATTTGTTAAAGAATGGCTGATAGAGAATGGCAAGTCATGCCAAATAGGTAAAGAGAGAAAGCAAAATAAATTTAACTTTATCTTTGTCATTGACCTTTTCTTTTTCCATGTTCTTCATTCTCTTCAGCACTATTGTTTTGTTTAAAGTTGAGACTTGAAAAGTTGGACTTACCAAAATACGAATTTGATGTCTCAACAGACACATTCAGCTTGGACATAATGCTTTCAGTTTTAAACCACCTGTCATTCCCTTGAGTATTGTTTTTTTATTTAGTTATGTTTGACAAAATACATTAATATGGATATTATTATTTTGTCAAAAGAGCGACTTTTGATTGGAAATGAGAATACATAATACCAAAACTGAAAGACTTTATAAGCTGTACAATTAGAAAGTGAAAACAATATTAATTACCCTCCAAAGTCATCTACTAAATTTAGTCCTCCTGGTCTGGGCTTTTTGTTTGTTCACCAAGAAACACAGCCTCCAGAAATTCTTCTTCTTCAAGCATTACTTTGTATTGGTCATCATATTTTGGACCCAAAGTCCACAGCTTCTCAAGTTCATAGAGTTGACGAACCTCAGGCAAAAAGAAGTGTACAGCCATATTTCCTATTGATTAAATTGTATTTTCTAGGTTCATAAGGAGTAGAGGAAATATTCAAGAAGTTTTTTCCTTTAACTTGATGTAAGTGACACTATAGAATGGTAAAACAACCACAGGAAGCCCAATTGATGTTTTTTACCTACTGTAATTTTCATCCTTTGAGGTCAATATAGCCTGTCATTTGTAGTAAGCACATTCTTGTACATGATGCCTTTTGTTTAGCTTATTTTTGTGTGTTTCAACACTATTTAAATTTTGCTTCAAAGTTATGGATACTGGTATTTATTGCAATGAATGCAATTTGCTTTAAATGTAAATTTTATTTGGTGGTTAAGTTTGCTTAATTTCAATACGGAGGGCTGATGTCTGAGAGCTCTGTAAGGAACCTTGTGTCCTTTTCCTCTTACACCAGCTTTTTTCAAAATTATAAATAAATAAAAATAAATGAGCAGTAAATCAACATAAGAGTAATGCAAAAAATCAAACAGTCATTATATAAGATTCTGGATAGTTATTCTATTGCATCTGGATTTCATTTCTTGAATTCCTGATCAAGCATATTCTGGATTCCAAGAGCAAAAATTTCTTTTTTTTTACCAGAATTTATGAATTCTGGAATCCAGCTTCCCTTTTATTTAGATAATTTCATACTTCAGATCTCTTTGATCCAGATCTAGATTCTGGATTCCAYTGGATTTAGACCCATTATCCAGAATCTCTTTCATCCAGATCAAGATTCCAGATTCATTTTGATTCAAATCAAATCTAGACTTCTTTTTATCCAGACCCAGGATCCAGGATCCGATTCAACCAGATCCAGAATCCCTTTTATCCAGATCTAGATTACCTTTAATTCAAATYCAGAATCCAGATTTCCTCTTTGATTAAGATTCAGAACCCTGATTTTCTTTTATCAGAATCCCTTTTATCCAGATCTAGAATCACTTTCATTCAGATCCAGAATCCAGATTCCTTTTAGTCCAGATCCAGAATTCAGATCACACACATGCACATACAATATATATGGATCAAAAGTTTGAACATACCTATATCCACAGCCAGCCAATTGCTGTCACCCTCAATACCTTCCACAGTAACATGACCATTTTTGGATATACCTCTGACGTTACGTCCTCTGAACTAAAACATCAATAGAAATTAGACCTTCATGTTAAATTTGTAGAAATGTGAAAGGAAAAACTTGTCGTACAAAAACATTTGTGAGTCATTAGTATTTGAGCCATAAAAATATTAAAAAGCATTTTTCAAGAAAAATAAGGAATTTCAATTTTGGCTAAATTTTTTGAATACTCATCTTATTACAAGTTGAATAAGAGTACACATAATGAGCATGATTTGATTTGTTTACTGGGTAACTTTGATGAAGCAATCATTATTTTCGCAATTTCTATATTGAATATATATATAACAAAAAGGGAGATAAAAGATCAAACAGCATTCTTAGTAATTTCATAAGGGCTGTCAAATCACAAAGGCATCCTGTATGCCTTATATTTACTTTATTAATTAATTTATTGATTTTAGGCAGGGGGTCAACCCAAGGGGAATTTGACATTTTGAATTTTCAAACATTTCAAATTATCCACCCTTGGACAACTGATGAATGTCAAACTTCCACACTTAGTACATATGTTTATTGTATTTTTCAGCTTTTGCATTACAACTTACCAGTTGCTCAAGGTTTTTAGACATTGCCCTTATGTGTCTATTAGACACACCACTGACCACTATGAAATAATCCACATATGCTCTTTTAGCTCCTGAAGACTCTATAACACATATATCAAAAGCTGCTTCTTGACGAAGAAACTTCACCACATCATCTACTGATAAATATCCATTCGTATCAAACTCATACTCATGACGACCAAACATTCTTTTTGACTTTTTGGAGTCTTTATATACGATATTCTCATCCTCAAAATCATATTTTTCCTTTTCCTGTGTTGACTCGTCTGGAAGTACATCTTTTGAAGTCAAAGAAAAATACCTCAACTTTTTGACTTGGTGTATTGAATTCGTTTCTTTAGGAAAGTGTTTTGAAGAACTCAAGATATCAAAGCAGTCTCTTTTCTTAATTTTTGATCCATGTCCCTTCACGTACAGAGTTTGTAAACTCTTTTTGGGAATAAAAGTTGGCTGATTTGTGTTATTGAGAGTTTTGAGTCGTCCTTCAGCACGTGTAAGACTGATTCCAGTAAAACATATAGAAATGCGACGAGAAGAAAGCCTTAAATCTCCTAATCTTGAACCAGTAAAGTTCAAACATCTTAGAGGATTAAATTTAAACATGTTTTAGTAAGAATGAGGATACGCAGACCTTGAAAAATATAGAAAAACACCGCTACAGAACTTCTTATGTTTTACCCGCCATGTTTTTACCAGGGCTAGTTACCAGTCGCCTCAGCGTCGACCTGATCACTTCGTAAATCTTCGGGACATCTTCGTGAGGTTTCGGGATTCATACTCGGAATGAAGAAATTGCTAATACATAATAAAGTGTGAGTTTATTGTCTTGATGTTTTAGCTCTTAAATTGGTTTAAATTAATAGAGAACGAGCGATACGAAATTTAAGCGATTTTTTTTTAGATTATGAAATAAATGAATACGATTGTTTGGGCTCCCTGTGTAAGTTAGTAACCAGTCTCTTGTTGAAGTTCATCATGGAGACCGGCATGGAGGTAGACTCAAGTATGGACCAAAACGAAAGTGCTGTAAAAAATGCCACACAAATAGGAGAACCCATGGATGTAGACCAAAAATTACCACGAAAAGACAAAGACCCGTGAGTTGGACATTGTATTGCCATCGAATGCTCTCATTTAGACCTAAACAATCTGTGTTTTTGTTGACAGAATTGCTCTGGCGGAAGCGAAAAAAGCCGAGGGGAATAAAGAATACGCAAAGAAAAACTACGATCAGGCAGTTCGACTGTACACTGAAGCAATAGGTAATAGATAAAAGATATTAAGAGTCATTTATGTGGGATGAGTACGTAACTGTTTTATTTCTTCATGCTTAACGAACATTAAAACTGCGTTATTTTACCCTAAGTTCCTTTAGAACATTCTAGACGGTTCCAGAAATATAAGGCTTACGTATGTCATTTCCGTGAAATTAAAACCAGTAAATGTTTAAAAAAAGTGATATAAAACGTTTATTTTCAAGCTTGTTTATGTATCTAGCTTKTAATCATAAGGATTCGTATTGTGTGTTTATCTTAATGCCGTTTTTACGAAGCCAAAAGACAACTTGAAATGTTAATAATTGCGTAACGATTTGATTAGCATATCGCCAAGAATGCTTACAATGCAGATATTTGTAATTCAGATTATTAGTGAGCTAATGGTTTAATATCATAAGTGTTATTTAATAATGTTTTTCTTGTAGAATTGGCACCTGACGTTGCTACATTTTATGGCAACCGATCAGCAGCTTACATGATGTTGATGAAGTATGATAAGGCACTGGAGGATAGCTTGATGGCAATCAAGTTAGACAACTCCTTTGTGAAGGTAAGTGAATATATATTGTAAAATCCCAGTCATAAGCTACTCCATTAATCAGCCCACTTCTGGTATATCCTATTTATGGTTTTGATGACTCATAAAAGATTGACTGGGAAAAGAAAGAGGGTCCTGAAATGGGAACTGGGAATTTGGTCACTGGAAATAGATAAAACAACAAAATGGGAATGGGAAATTGTTTATAATGCAAATGGTTTTGGATGCTGGGAAATGGGATTTGTAAAAAATATTTGGATGGGGAATGGGATTGACATCCCCCTTTAGGATCTTCAAGAAAAGGAACAAATATCCATTCCCTTAACATTCCAAACCCTTTTACTCCTTTCTCCCCGAATACAAGCTCTCCCAGTTAGAAGTTCACGAGCATAACCGGTCAATAGACACATAACTTTTGTTGTATTTTTTACCAAGTGCATGACGGTTGTTGTAATAACATGGTRGTGACAGTAAATGGTTAAAAAAGATACAAAATCATTCATTATTGCATAAAACAACAATGAAAATGATAATAATAATGTTGATGATGATAATGTTATGATGATGATATCATACATAATGGTGATGATGATGATAATAATTATGATAATAGCAATAATAACTGAAATCAAGGCATGTATATATATATACATGTATATGTCCCAGTATAGTGGCTTGGTAGTTTATATCAGTCTCACTCGATATTATGTTCAAGAGCATTATTTTTATTCTTCTCATTTCCAGGGTCATTACAGGGTAGCTAAATGCTACCTGGCTTTGGGATTATCCAGAAATGCTGTGATGGAGCTGCAAAAAGTCCTTGCGCTTGACAAAAAGAACAAAGATGCTACAAATGATGTGAGTGCAGATACATATATCTATATGAAAGATTTTAATATTTTAAATATAAGGAGTACATTTAGGTATCCAGCTGTTGGACATATATTATGAGCTGGACATCCACCTCTTTAGCTTGGATGCATTATTGTGTCACACACAATTTCTTTGTGTAGTGGTTGTGTAGGAGAAGACACATGAATATTGATACACTTTAAACAAAGGATCTTATTTGCAAGAGAATGACATGTGGTCTAAAATGGGAAAGCATTAAGCCAAAGCTACTGTAATGAGATCTTTTCTTACGATATGCTATTCTTTTCGTTATTCATATTTCAATTTATTTTGTCTTGTATTGCAGTTGAAAACAGCTAATTTAGTCATGGAATATGAATCATCTGCTTATGACGCTTTTGAGAAAAAAGATTATAGAAAGGTACTCAATATCATGATTAATTTTAATTTAATTTCGAAATATTTTGTGATCATACTTGATTTGCTCCTACCTATAGGTTGTGTTTTGTATGAGAAATGCATTGGAGAAGTGTCCAGCATGTACAATATATAAAGTGATGAAAGCTGAAGCCTTGGCGTTGACGGGGAAATACAGTGATGCTGAACATGAAGCAACGTAAGTCTCACATTTTTTTTCTCTTTGAGCAGACCAGGTTCGAAAAGATCACACTGTAATAGGCCCTTTGCAGCTAGTGGTCACGTGCTTGGATACCGCTTAGCAACACAAAACTGGAGAGCAAGCCTTCCAGTAAACAAAAGTTGTAATAGGTCAAGCACGCGTGGTTTTATACGATAGTTTCATCGTTCAAAACGCTTAATCCTTTTGCCCTATCTACAAACACAGTAAGAT